AATGCTGAAGCTCTTGGACTTTGGCAGTTTGTTCAACCTGCAGGTCACTCAGCCGCCCACAGTTGGGATGAATTTCAAAACACCATGTGGGGTCATTTGAGTCTGTCTGCTATGCTGTAATATTTTCAGTAAACTTGGGCACACCAGAAAAAAAAAAAAAAAACTTTTTCTCGGTTGTATGTAACTCTTTTCTGGATTAGGTTTACCTCTTTGAAGTTGTTTTTTACAGTTACATATCATTGAATCAGCACTTATCTCTTTGAAGATGTCTTTCTCTGTCATATGTAAACTAAATCACAAGTTTGTTTAGGAACTGTAGCACCTAACCCAAGTATAAAAACTGATGACCACTCTTAGCAGGGAAAGCTAGTTTTGAGAAGAATCTCACTGCTTTCCCAGATCTGAAATAAAGTGCCCTGGCTATTGCAATACATCTGTCTTATTGACTATTGACTACTGGGCGGGAAGGGGGGGTGGGGGGGAGCCCTTTCGTTCAGTAAAAGTCCTAGTTGAATTACATAATAATATTCAAGCAACTCTTAGATTATAACTTGGTGTCTATGGATACCTCAGGGTAAATAGAAAGCTGATTTGAAGTCATAGAATAAATAGGGTTTTTTAACTCTTTAATTTTTAATTTACCAGGGGGTTTTTTTTCCCCATAAAAGCAGTACATTCACATGATGGAATACTATGCAGCCCACAGGAGCAATGATTTTGTAAATTACTATCTATCTTGGGAGGGACTGGAGAGCATTATGCTAAGTGAACTAACTCAATCCCATAAGGACAAATACTGTATTAGAGGATCTAAGAGGGTAGGGGGTGAGCAGATGGGTGAAGATGGGGGAAGAATTATAGGGTGGCACAATTTGATAGGTGGAGGGAGAAGTGGGTTAAGGAAATGAGAAAGATCCAGTGTGGAAAACAATTTATACAAAGTTTGTAAGTAAACCCGTATAAAATTAAAATGTCATATTTATAAAAGCATTTCAAACAAAATTAAATTCAATGTCTTTTTGGCCCAGGTTTCTGCTGCTACAGCTGCAGATTGTAACAATGTGGGT